TGTACTGTACTCTTTGCCTTCATTTTCAAGTCAAGGTTGTGGTACATCAGTTGGTGCTGGTCTACAAACCATCAGTTGATAGTCCCTGGAATGTCTCCAGGAAGGACAGAAAGAAATAGCTATAGCCACTAAGCACAAATATGGTACCAGTGCCTGGCACAATGGGGAAGAAAAACAATTGCCTATTCCCCATATCAGATACCTTGGGAAGCACTGGCTTAAGTTCTACCACTACTTTTGACAGGACATGCTGTTGCTGCCAGCCCCATCATTATTACCACCCCCCTCCACCGCTTTATATTGGAGTCAGCTAGGCCTCAAATAGCTCTAAGGGCCATGCAACATCAGGTGGAGAGAGATAGTGAAGGGAGGCTGTGGTGGTGGGAGGCTGATTCTGGCTCTGACCTCAGGCAGCAAAACATCTTTGGCCAATGCTGAGAGTCTGGAACAATACCCAAAAGCTATCTGCAATTGTGGTTTTTGAGTTAACTAGTTTAGTACATGACTAATCTTATCTCTTTTTTGATAGAGTTACAAGCTAAGTAGATGAAGGGAATGCTGTGGATGTAGCATATCTTGATTTCAGTAAGGCCTTTGACAAGGTCCCCATGATATCCTTGCAAAAAAGCTAGTAAAATAGACACTGTGACTGTTAGGTAAAGCAAAGCAGCTTATTTATATACCGCTTCATATCACGCTATGGGATGTCTAAGCGGTTTACAACTGTGAGCTGATTGCCCCCCAACAATCTGGGTACTCATTTTAGCGACCTCGGAAGGATGCAGGCCTGAGTCGAGCCCCAGCCCTGGCTGGTATTGAACTCGCAACCTTGTGGTCTATGAGTGAGTGGCTGCAGTACAGGCATTTAACCACTGCGCCACCAGGTAGATTTGTAATTGGTTGGTTGATCAAACTGAAAGGGTGCTCAACAATGGCTCCTCCTCATCCTAGAGAGAAGTGACTAGTGAGGTGCCACAGGGTTCTGTTCTGGCCCCAGGACTATTCAAAATCTTTATCAGTGACTTGGACAGTGGAAAAGAGGGCATGCTTATCAAATTTGCAGATGGCAATAAAGTAGGAGAGGTATCTAATACCCAAGAGGACAGGATCAAAATTCAAAATGACCTTAGCAAATTAGAAAGCTGAGCCAAAATTTTGACAAAATAAATTTCAACAGAGAGGATACTATACTTAGGTCGTAAAAATGAAATACACAGATATAGAATGGGTGACACCTGGCTTGATGGCATTTATGCAAAAGGAATCTAGAACTCTTAATGGACCATAGGCTGAACATGAGTCAGCAACATGGTGAAACAGCTAAGAAAGCCAATGCAATTCTAGGCTGCATCAATAAGAGTATAGTGTCTAGATCAAGGGAAGTAAAATCTATTCTGATTTGGTCAGACCTCACCTGGAAAACTGGGTCCAGCTCTTGGTGCCACCATTCAAGTAGGATGTGGACAAGCTGGAATGTGTCCAGAGAAGGATGACCAAAATGGTGAAAGGCCTGGAAATCATGCTTTATGACGAGCAGCTTAGGGAGCTGGGTATGTTTAGCCTGGAGAAGAGAAGGTTAGGAGGAGACATGATAGCCATATTTAAATATGTGAAGGGATGCCATTGAGGATGAAGCAAGCTTGTTTTCTGCTGCTCCAGAGAATAGGACCCGGAGCAATGGATTCAAACTACAGGAAAAGAGATTCCACCTCAACATTAGGAGGAACTTCCTGACAGTAAGAGCTGTTCCACAGTGGAGCACACTCCCTTGGAGTGTGGTGGAGTCTCCTTCTTTGGAGGTTTTTAAACAGAGACTGGATGGCCATCTATCAGGAGTGTTTTGATTGTGTATCCATGCATTGCTTTTAAAACAACTTTACAAATGTTGTTAAGATGAAACTAATACAAAGTGGATCCCTAACAGGTGATTTCTAAAGATGAAATGAAATGATATTGAATATAATTCTGCATGAGTCTGTTCTAAATATGCAACAATTCAAGATCTTTGTGAATGGCCTTGAAGAGTAAACTTACAGTCATCAGATTCCTAGATTCTACAGAATTCATAATTTTTTAAATATTCAGATTTGTCTCAAATCCATGAAACGGGACCGAAGAAATTATTTCCAAAAAAAACAGCCTAAATACCCTAAAGACACCAGATCCTCCATGATCTTGGAAGCTAAGCAGGGTCAGCCCTTGAATGGGAGACTGGCAACAAATAACAGGTGCTGTAGGCTCTATTTTAGAGGAAGGAACAGACAAAACCATCTCTGAATATTCCTTAGGGAAATTTAGGTAAAGGTAAAGGTATTCCTCATTGACAAGGTTGTCAAGTCGGGTCCAACCATGGCAGCGGTGGTCATCTCTGTTACTAAGTTGAAGAGCCAGCATTGTCAGAGACTACTCTGTGATCATGTGGCCGGCATGATTGCACAGAGCACTGTTTACCTTCCCACCAAAGTGGTACTTATTTATCTCCTTGCATTTGCATGCTTTTGAATTGCTAGGTTGGCAGAAGCTGGGGCTAGTGATGGGAGCTCACTCCACCACGTGGTATCTGGGCCTCGAACTGCCAAACTGCTGATCTTGCATTCAACAGAGTCAGCATCTTAACCACTTGAGCCACACAGGCTACCAAAAGTTGATAGGTGACTGGAAGGCAGCATGCACACGCAAGCACACACACACAAACTCAATCACAAACAGGATCCCAACTTACCATTCCTTCTGCTCCAAATTTTTGAAGGTCAAGAGATCCTTGAGGACGATGAAAGGGCATGTGGAGCTAGAGTGGAAGGGGGAAATAATCGAAAATCAGGTTGAGTTGACTCGTGGGAGAAACTTCTTGCTAGGGCTGCCTTTGCCCATTTGCCTCTTCTCATTGCAATCCCCATGCCACTCGGGAAAGTCTCCCAACCTGCAAGAGCTTTCCTGAGAACTACAGAACAACACTGTTTTGGCACTGTCCGGCTTTGCTTCCTACAGTGGTAGAAAGGACAGGAAAGCCTTCTCACAGTGAATACATCTCATAATGATTCAATAACTGACCACTTGCAATGGTACCACTAAAGGGATTGCTGACATTAAAGGTGCCATCCTTTTCTGTTAATACTTTAATTACACTGTATTCTCATATTTGGTGGACCCAATGGAGAGCTAGCCCTGTGTACCTACTTGCCAGCAAAAATTAAAGTAAGGGCGTCCAGCACACTATATATGCTACATGGTATCTATTTTAATTACTAACAAAAAAAACCCCAATCTTTCTGCATTCCCCCACAAAGCTGCTGTTAGTGCCTTGTTGGCTTTTCCAAGTTCCTTAATCAATACAGTAGTCTGGAGAAGAAACTGCAATTTACATGCCCCTCTACCCCATAAGCTCCTTTCCCTATAAATCCCACACTCCTTTTTAGTGTTTCTCCTGCTTTGGTTGGACTTTCTAGCTGATTTTACCCCATGATGTATTGATTCGACTACAATTTTTCATGGAAATGGAGATGAAAAGCCTGACTTTTCATCTCCATTTCAACAATGGGCTCTTTGCCTGACCCTCAAGGTCTTTGTTCCAAGCCTCATGTAGTTAGTGTGCTTAGAACCAGCAGCGTATTACTTATAACTTCTTTACAAAGCTCCGTTGTCATTAATAGGGTTCCTACAGTTCGCTCCAGATTTACTGACAGAATAAAAGCCTCCAAAGCTCAGTGGGTCACATTAGACCAATGAATTTGACTAGTCAGGGATTCAGTTTCACTTACTGCCATTACGTCTTTTACCTGAGGGCATCAAAAGTAAGTGAGTCATCATCTACTAGGCATGAGCAGGTTAGCGTATTGCTTATTGTCCAGGAACATCAAACAAAGGGTTTTCAAGCCATTTCAAAATTAAGATTTCCCCCTAGAGTGTTGGACTTGAGAGAACAAGGAGCAAAAACAAATTGCTCGATCAGTCTCAGACCTGCTGGAACTGTGGAGAGCCTAACCTGCGGATAAACATTTGGGTCCTAATAACTGCCATGCATTTAATAGTACCAGCATTCCCATTATGCCCCCTTGGCGATGAAAATTCACTGGGTGACTAGTTACATTCTCTCAACTTCAGAGAATGGCAATGGCAAATCCCCTCTGAAGAAATGTGCTAAGAAAACCTTGTGATAGGTTCACTTTAAGGTTGTCATAAGCCAGAAATGACTTGAAGGCACACAACACACACACGCACACCCTTTTTATTTCCTAACATCACCCAAACTGGTATTTGTGTGGTAAAGGTGTTGTGACATTTCAGAAGTCAGTGAACTGAGGTAGGCCTAGAGCAGGGGTAGGCAACCTAAGGCTCGGGGGCCAGATGCGGCCTCCCCGAGGCCTTTGGACCGGCCCCAGGCCAGTCCTGCTGTCGCCACCACCGCCACCCGCAATGATGATATTGATTATTGTTGTTAGTACTTGTTCTTGGGGTTGTCTTGGCAAAATCTCCACAGGGGGGTTGCCATGGCTTTTCTGGGGCTGAGAGAGTGTGCATGCATTTTTTAAAAAATATATTTATTTATTTATTTATTTATTTTTGGTGCTTCGGTTCCCCAATTGTCTGAGGGGCAGCAACCCGGCCCCCAGCTCAAAAAGGTTGCCTACCCCTGAGTTAGAGTATAGCTATGGAGGAAGGAATGACAGCATTGCCCCCAAATAAGAATTCTGCCCCCCCCGATGAATTTTCCTTCACACTCAAAATTTTTCTACCATTGCAGAGAGTGGGACACTGAAAATCATTCACACCTGGAATTTAAATTTGTTGTGTTTGCATTCTGTTAGTCACTTTGCCTGCCAGTTTCCCTGTATTCAGTTTCTAAAAAGGTCAACTGAAGTTTTAAGTTACTGATATGGTAGAAATTTGGAGACTGAAGGAAGATTTCACAGGAGGGGAGAATTCTTACTAGAGAACAAAACTCTCATATGCATATAGTTCTCTACCATGAGATTTTCTGCCCAGTGAGTTTCCATGGTCCATGGCTTGGTGGGGAATTGAACCCTTGACCTCCAAAGTCATAGTCCAGTTCTCAAACCACTACACCATGCTGGTTTACAATGAAATTGTAATTCATTATAAAAGTTATTAAAGTTCAAGAAAAAGTTTGACTATCCCTATGATAACATAAAAGACCATTTAATTTTATGTTAAGAGATCATTTCAACACCAGCATAGGTAGGATGACCATTTCTGGATCATCCCAGGCTCATTTCCCAACCAAAACCTAAGACTGAAAGTTGGTCCCTGGTGATGCCATTAAGCATTACAGTTTGGCATGGAAACACACACACACACATTGTATTATTGTGTTTGCAAATGAAGACAGAAATCTTAGCTAAAGGAGCTGTTCACAGATCAAAGCAAAATGATGGGATTATTTCTTCTCACTTACTTAGGGAGACAGGAATTTAGGGATAAGGAACATTTAATCTATTTCATTTCTATTTCTAATCCATTGTTTCAGTCTCATTGTTCCCCCTCTGTAGTATATATAGGGCGGGCACTAACACATCAACCAAAAAGAGAGAGAGAGAGTATGCAGTATTATAAAAAAAAAATCTTCTTATATATGTGTAGTTGCAAATTTAGAAACAGTAACTGTTTTGGCATAGTGGAGAAGACTATGATTGTAGCTGAACTCTGTACATGCTCAGTCTGTAGCTCAGTTGCCAACAGCTGGTTGCAACTTCATGCTTCTTACAGTTGTGGTTCTTTACCTTAAAATAGGACTCAAACTGCAGATCTCTTCCAACAGAAAACACCTTCAGTCTGGTCTCAGATAGCTCTTGAAATAAATAGAGAACTATATAAAGCCTACACATGGCTAATGCAATTTTTGGTCTGTGTGTGTGAGTGTGTGTCTGTCAACACATTGTGTATCTGATGAAGAGGGCTCTAGAGTCCAGTGTGTGAAGGCTTATGCCTAAAACAATCTGTTTCTCTTTAGGGCTCCTCAAGCTTTTTTTGTTGTTGCTGCTTTTGCTTTTGCTCCAAGAGCCTTTGGTGAGTCCTATGGGATTCGTGTTTTCTGCATTGATGATTATGTCTGAATATTTTTATGGTAGGGAAATCCCTGATTATTGATATATTTTAATTTGTGTGGGGGTTTTTTAATGCCCTTCAGGAGTGGCGGCTGACATTTCACACGCTGAGCATCTCATCCTTATCTTCACAGTTCCCATTTTGGTCAACCTACATTCTTGCATGATAGCGCTATTTTAATCACAGCCTTCAGTTTACCTTCACTTCAAATTTTTAAGCAAGCATGAATGATCAAATCTGCCACTGTGGCTTCTGCAGCAAGGACTCTGCAAACCCATCTAAAACAAAGCACTGTGCAATGATCCTCAATTGATACTTATTCAACAGATTATTTACTCTTTGCATACTCTCTTAGTTCTTCTCTGGCCGCTTGGTTTCCAGTCGGTCAGACAGTCAGGGATATTTCTCCAAAGTGGAAACAGATTTCTTTATTGTTGGGTTTATGTGTCTGTGTATGTTTCTGGGCACATGTCCAAGGAAGTTTTTTTTATAATTCCTGATATTATACATCAAATTGCAAGTCACATCTATTTTGCTTTCTCTCTGAATGGCTAATTGCTTTTTAATTGCAAATTGCTGCATTTAAAAATACATTTGCACTTCCGCTTCCTCACTTTATGTTTGAAATCTGAATTTAGTAACACGTGTTCGTGGATTTCATACAAAAATGATGCAACATCTATAATATTATATATATATATATATATATATATATATATATATATATATATAATTTTTGTTCCCATTCTCCATCTCTCCCTCCCCCGCGCATCTCTCTCTCTCTCTCTCTCTCTCTCTGACACACACACACACAAATGTAGCAGGGACTTGTTTGCTCCTGGTTCTGTTGCCAGCATGAGACAGCTCCCATGCCTGCATGTTAATCCAAACAAAGAGCCATGCAAATTGCTGCTGCTGCTGCTGAGTTACCTAGCAACCATACAGTGTCCAGAAAACAAAATACTGTCATATTCCACTACCATGTTGAGCCTATGTAGCCTGGTTTTTTGAAACACTCTAAATCTGAAATATTTGGAAAGGTTCATCAGAAATGACCAAAAATAATGATGGTGTTATAAGAGGGTTTTTCTGCACACACACACACACACACACACATATACATACATACATACATACATAGACATTTCCACCCCCACATAGGGATGTACTGACAAATCATCATGTGACAAAGACTGTCTTCCAGTTAGTCTCAAAAGTGCTGCAAGATCCCTTTACATACTGATTTTCCAGAATAACATGGGGCCTGTGCAGACTGCCAGAAATAGTGCACATTAAATTGAGGCACTGCCCTGGCTCAGTGCTAGGGAATCATGGGAAGTGTAGTTTATTGTGGCACCAGAGTTCTCTGACAGAGAAGGCTCAGTGTCTCAGAAAAAAATACAATTCCCATGATTCCCTAGCATTGACCCAGGACAGTTAAAGTGGTCTCAAGCTGCATTATTTCTGGCAGTCTGTTCAGTCCCATGGCTATGTCTTTGAATTGCAATATCAGACAGAGAGAGAGATTTCTATTGCTCCTCTTCCAGTCATGGAATCCTAGAGTTGAAAGTTACCACAAGGGCCATCCAGTCCAACCCCCTCCCATGCAGGAACTCAAAATCAGACCATCCTTGACAGATGGCCATCCAGCTCTGTTTAGAGCAGGGACCGGCAACCTACGGCCCGGGGGCCGGTTAAGGCCCTGGGCCCCGGACTTACTGGCCCAGGCCCAAGGTTGCCACCGCCGCCATGCGCCGCCGCCACACGCCGCCACTGGGGCACGTTTTTGCCACTCTGCGGCTACGCTCACTGCGATCGCCATTTTGGAAATCAAAATGGTGGTCGTGACGCGTTTGCGCATGCGCAGTACTCTTGCGCATGTGCAAATGCATCGCGGCCGTGATTTGGACTTCCAAAATGGTGGCTGCGACATGCGCCACGGCAGCTGCGGCCGCGCAAGCTACGGTGGTGGCCGCGGTAGCGGCCGCGGTGGCAGCGTGTGCGGGGAGGTCGCGTGTGGCGGCGGAGGGTGCGTGTGCGCGCGTGTGAGCGCCACCATTCCCCCCTCCCCCTCAGCCCAGCCAAGACCTGGGCTACAGGAGACCGGCCCAGGTCTCAAAAAAGTTGCCTGCCCCTGGTTTAGAGTCACAAAGCAGGAAGCAAAAAATATACCTGTACTTCTGTATCTGCTTTTTTTAAAAAAAAGATCTATTGTATTATACGATGGTACAAGAGTCAGCATCACATACTGGTTTGACTTGCACTAGGACACAGGGAGGCCAGGGTCTGACTCTCTGGTCAGCCATAGAAACACATCAGGTGACCTTGGGCAAGTCTCACTTTCTTTACTTCAGAGGATGGCAATGGCAAACCCCTTCTGAAGAAACTTGCCAAGAAAACCCCATCGCATGTTGGCCTTAGGATCACCACGAGTCAGAAACAACTTGAGAGCACAATTCATTCATGCTGATTTTGTGCGGGAGCACAATTATCCTGTACATGCAGAGAATTTTAGCATACAGCCATTTTTTTTAAAAAGCCCATCATAAATAGACTTTGAGAGTTGTTAGTAGTACAAACATGGGAGATTCAGAGAGTCATGAACCAAAAAAAGTAACTTTTCCAAGCACTATTCCCCAGCATGATGGCTGGAGTAAGGTGCAGCATCTCTCCTACCAGTTAGTTACTGGACTACCTATGCATCACATCCCCTTTTTTGCAATGGCAAGTTGCACCTTAACAGATTCTCCTTCCTCCATGAAGTCTAGAACATGGATTCTGGCAATCGTCTTGTTGGATCAATTACTCTAGGCAGAAATCTGGCAGAGGGCGCTGGGCTCCCATTTGCCCCATCATTCTGCACTTATTACCAGAAACAGGAGACAATGGGTACTTTCTAGTTAGTGTAAAAGAAGACAATCCTTGCAAAAGTGTGTGGATGCAAGGTCACCTCCTTAGGATACTTTAAAACAGTGCTTCTTAACCTATCTGATGTGGGGGATTGCCATCTCCCCCCCCCCCCAGCTCCAGTGTGCCAGGTGACTGACACCATATTTGTGCCCATTTGCTTCAATTGTTGCTTTGTGTGCTGGAAACTCTTCAGAGGTCTTCTAGATGGCTGATGAACTGGCACCAGCCCAGGGACCATCACTTTGCATAGCACTGATTTAAAGGATGAAGACATAGACTCTAGTACACAGTAACCAGTTACAGCTGGAATTATACTTGGAGCCTTTATAACTTTATTTCTGCTCTCAGTAGAAGGAAGGGTACAATGTGCTGGCACAACTCATTGTCATCTAAGTGTTGCGGTAACTATGGGGATGAAAGGAACTGGAGTATATTTATGGAAAGGGGAGATGTCTGTGCAATTTCCCAAAGGTACAGTCTGGCTCATGTACTTTAAAGAGAGTATTGGTTTGTAGGGACCAGTTGATAGGAAAGGTGCAAGGACTGTAATTGCTTTAGTGTGTGTGTGTGTGTGTGTATGTGTGTGGTAGGTTGCTAACATTCTTTTTCTTGAATAAATATATTTTGCCTACTGGCTGCAAATATCATCCTGATATTGACCCCTTTCCCTGCCAGCTTGCCAAGACAGCTACTGCACTACAGAATCTGGTTTGCACCAAGAACAAATTTCTTAATTTTTCAGAGAAGCCGCAGTCCAGTCATGATCATGAATCTTGGGTTGTTCCTAGCACAGATGACAGTGCCAAGCAGATCCTCAAAAACTGTAAGAAGAGGACGAAGGAGAATAAACTTGGCAGTAGTACCCTTGCACTCCTGGCTTTGATACCTATACACACCCTCCAAGACCAGGTAGTAATGTTCATTTTGTCAAAGCATCTTAAATCTTATAAATGGCTTGTACATTAACATTTTGACTTTATTCTTCAGGTATACGAGTAGTTTCACTGTCTACAGTGTCTTTGCTTGGGAGCATACAGCACTAAATGCTGGCAGAAAAAAAATACCTCTAGATCAGGGGTATGAAACATTACCTCTCC